TAGGGTACATGTGCATAACGTGCAGGTTTGTTACATATGTATACTTGTGCCATGTTGGTGTGCTGCACCCATCAACTCGTCAGCACCCATCAATTCATCATTTACATCAGGTATAAGTCCCAATGCAATCCCTCCCCCCTAATTTTTATATTTTTAGTAAAGACAGGGTTTCACCATGTTGGCCAGGCTGGTCTCCAAATCCTGGCTTCAGGTGATCCGCCCACCTCGTCCTCCTAAAGTGCTGGGATTAGAGGTGTGAGTCACCATGCCCAGCCGACAATTACAATTTTTGTTTTCAATGTATCTCATTGCTCTTTCTTCTTTCAGCCACTTGGTCTCGTTTTGCAGTGTTCTGTTCTTGTTTCATGGACACCATTTCTTCTTTTTCTCTGAGGATCGTAATTTAATCCCAGTTATAGTTCTTCTATATTCTATATTTGTGGTTAACTGTATTTCAGGCAAACATAAGTTTTTCTGTTGTAACTGAGTGTCTTTATTTCATGGAGATTGGAATCCCTCAAATGGTGCTTAAGAATGAAAGGCCGGGTGCAGTGGCTGACACCTGTAATCCCAGTACTTTGGGAGGTCGAGGCACCCAGGTCTCTTGAGGCCAGGAGTTTGAAACCAGTCAGGGCAACATAGCAAAAGTCTGTCTCTACAAAAACAAAAATAACAAAAATTAGCCGGGTTTGGTGGTGCATGCTTGTAGTCCCAGCTACTTGAGAGGCTGAGGTGGGAGGATTATTTGAGCCTGGGAGGTGGAGGCTGCAGTGAGCCAGGATCACAGCACTGCACTCCAGCCTGAGTGACAGAGTGAGACCTCATCTTAAAAAAAAGAAATTGAAAATTTAAAAATGTCACTCAAGTCTTGATGTGATCTCATATTTGCTATTCACGTTCTCTTGGTGGGGGACATTAACACCTTGTGTTCGTGGATTCTCTGTCCCCTTTCAAGGGACCAAAGACCTCCTGGTCTCATTGATCCTTTGTGGTTGCCCGAATCCCTCTTCTACCCCAACCAACCCAAGTCCTCTTGAGAAAGCTTTCTCTTTTGTCTTGAGCTTCCGCACACGGGCTGGGCTGCCGCTTCCCTCTGTCAGCTTCTCGTGATTCTTCATGGCTTCAGTCCACCACTAGGATCTCCCCTGCCTAATTTTTTAGCATGGTTGTGAATTCCTGTCTTTTTTGTGCATACCTTTGCTCTTTATTCTAATGGCTGGTGGGTGAGGAAGAGATAGGGAGAGACTGTTACGCGTGCTTAGATTGCCATATTTAAACCAGAAGCTGGAGAAAATGCTAGGAACTAATAAGAGAGGGCTCGTCTTTAAGAATGCAAGAGTCGGCCGGGCCTGGTGGCTCACCTGTAATCCCAGCACTTTGGGAGGCCGAGGTGGGCAGATCACTTGAGGTCAGGAGTTCAAGACCATCCTGGCCAACATGGTAAAACCCCATCTCTACTAAAAATACAAAAAATCAGCCGGGCGTGGTGGCAC